TCCACCTTCAACTTCCCCTGGATATGGGGGGTGAATAGTTGGGAGCAACCATCAAATGTGCCAACAAGACCCTAGTCCCTTCATCTAGTGCCGTGTAATAAATAGGTCATGTGTTTCCAGAGCACGCCCCAAGTCAGGCACTCTGGGGAACAGAAAACCCCAGCATGGATGTTCTCTGGCTCCTAAGCAAGCCTCTGGCACAGAGCAGACCAGGCAGGAAGTCAGCAAGCCGGACCCCCTTGGCGAGGTGGCCCTGGCTGTCTTCCCAGCACTTCCCACCCAGCCCCCGTCCATGCCCTGTAGGGCCTCCCTTAGCATAGCACTGCTTTCACCCGTGCACACTCGATTCCCTGTGCCTGGGATGCCCCTCACCTCTTCCACCTGAAAAATTCTTTCAAGACCCAACTCTATTAATAACATTCCAGAAATCTTCCCTGTTTCCCTGAAGGTGCCTTAGAGTTTCCTTCAGTGCAGCTGGAACAACTCGTTCATCTCTGTGACTGTTCTCAGCCTACCACAGGGTCATGACTTACTGCCATGCAGGAAACTAGAATAAGTATGTCTAGATGATCCACACATGCTACCAGCCCCCTAAGGACAGGGACGGTTGGCATCTTTCTCTTGTGGTAGACATTGTGCCTGGTGCTCATGATGAGTTTGAAAGAATGTAAACCCTCCCACCCCCCAGCCCGGCTCCCTGCCTCTCCCCTCCCCAGGGTCTTCTCTGGAGAATGATGTGAACGTAAGCCTGGCCAGCTGGCACATTTTAGTTGTAGGTCTCATTTTGCTTTGTTTTCAGTTTGCCAGCAGCATTCAAATCAATCCATTTGCCTAAGAAACATTAAAGATCAGAGCTTAGCTACCAAGTTTTTTTTTTTTAATTTTTTTTATTTTCTTAAAAGATTTTATTTATTTATTTGACAGACAGAGATCACAAGCAGGCAGAGAGGCAGGCAGAGTGGGGGGTGGGGGGAAAGGAGCAGGCTCCCTGCTGAGCAGAGAGCCCAATCCCAGGACCCTGAGATCATGACCTGAGCTGAAGTCAGAGGCTTTAACCCACTGAGCCACCCAGGCGCCCCTTAGCTATCAAGTTTTAAAGTCCTGGGAGAGAGTTGCCTAGGGAAGTTGTGAAGCCTTTTTTCTGTTGCTCTGGCCTGAAAGGAATAAAAGCTGGCAACTACCATTCCTTCGGCACAGATAGCCTGAGCCTAGCCACGAAAGAGACCTGAGAGTACTAAGCATTAGTACCTAAGCTCATTAATCCACGCCTACTGCTGCAGGATTTAGGCCCCTCAGAGCAATGTGGCTTTCTGTCCTGGGCCTGTAATCCTGCATTCTGGAAGACAAAGCCTGAACCAGCTCCCTCATGTAATGTGGTGGTATCTCTTTGGCAGATTTATTTGTAGAAATTATTTCTTTTTGGGTTCCCTAGTGTCAGTAAGAAAAGCTCCCCAGTGAGGTATGTTCTCCAAACACAGTTCTGCTCTGTGGTCACGGAGGGCAGCTTCCCTGCTTTTCTTACCAAAGCCTCGTCCAAAGATGGGACTAGCATCTCAGTTACTTCAGTCCCCAACTTGTATTAAGCAGAATAATGAGAGTTTTTATCATCCAAAAGGGGATTTTTTGTATTTAAATTTGTATTTGAATTTGCTAAACCAAAACTCCACTTGTCTCTTTTATAAGACTAGAGACAGCTAAAGGCATACACATATACATAAGATATATACATACATATGTGTGACTACGTAAGACATCACAACAAAACAATCCATACTTGAAAATAATATTTAGAAAGGAAAAGGATTATTTTCTGTTTGAATAAACAGAACGGCAAAGAGACCTTAAAAATGCCAGGATTGTTCCAGGAGGGGCAAGCTGTATAAGTGGGGTGCTTGTTCCTTCTGCTGAGCTCTTCTGTGGGTGCACGTGAGGCTTCAGAAGACCGCGGAAGCAGCTAACTGGCATCCCTGAGTCCAGCCAGACAGCAGTGGAAGAAGCAGCTCCCGAGCCAGCCAGAACAGGTAGCAAGGCCCTTGTGGCAAGCAGCTTTTCTGTCTTCTCCGGGGGTGTGCCTTCCTGGAAGAGGCCTGTGATAATCAAGGTCTTCTGTATCTGCGCGGCTTCCTTCTGTGTCAGACTGCGCTGTCTTTGATCGCCCTGGCCCATACCGGAGCGCCTGATGGACTGCAGGGAGCTCCCCCACGTCTGTGGGCTGTGCAGCCCTTACCAACCAGCTCAGAAGCCCCTTCACTGTGTTCTCATGCAGCAGCTCTTGTGGGCCATCGCAGTCAATCAGCCTGTCTCGGTCTCTCCTGTCTTAGTGTTCTTCAGTGGGAACTACTTGTCTTATTTGCTGATTAGAAACAAACCATTGCTTGTTTAATCTGCAGATGAATGTCCCTGGCTGTGTGTCCTTCCCTCCATCATCCTTGTGGCCTATGCTCTTTCTACAACACCCCCAAGGCTTGGCTGTGATGCAGGCTTAGGCTTCTCTCTCTGCTGTACTTCTTCAGTTGCCCCACCATCTATCCCTGTGCTCCCCGAGGTCTCCCTGACTTTCCCTCTCCTGTTAGTTAGTAGAATGGGACCCAAGCCCTGTGCACTGCATCGCTCTCTGCAGGACAGTCCTGCTTCCTTGATGGTTGGTGCCGTCTCAGTTGGCACGGGGCAGCATCCCGACATCCTCCTGCCCTGGGTTTCTTTAGGGGGAGAATTCTGATGAGGTGATACCCTCACTGCCACTCCTCTTATGTTCTTCGTTTGCTCAGTCAAGCTGCTTTGTTTTTTCAGCATCAAAGTCTTAGCTGACAAGCATCTGTCCCAGGCTCTGGGGCTTTCCTTGTCTTTGTGGCTGCTTGCTCATTTCATGATTTCCACAGAGAGGCAACTTAGGCCCTCACAAGTAGTCATCTATGAGCCAGGAACTCTGCTTAGAGCCTGGATTAAATTAGGCTGTTGTTTATAGTGCCTAATATAGCCAAGGGCAGCCAGATTTCCCTCTAGATGAGCCACCAACCTGGGCCATGGGCTCTTGGGAAAAGTCCCATCCCTGCGGCCTTACTTCTGTAGACTTGGCTCTGCCCCCAAGCTCCCTGGGGGTAGCGCCTTCAGCCTGAAGTGCGGCTGCTCAGCTGTCTGGGGGTCTGTGTGGCTCTCTGGATGTTTGAGGTGACTGTGAAACTGACAACTTTAGAAACTGTCCAGGCTGGATGGCTTAGCCAAGTGGTTAGGCTTACTAGTGGTCTTATGTGGCGAGAACTAGTTTGGTACCACCAGCATCCTGAGCTTTAGGAACAAAGAACAAAAGAGTATTTCATCAAAAGGCTTGGAAAAGAAACCACAACGAGTTGCGGGGTTTTGGCTGTTGTTTTTAAGATCTTAGAAGCCTTGGTTGCCTCTAGGTACCTTAAAAAACCCCAAAATACCAAATTACAGTGTGCAGAAGCCATAGGCTATACAGAGAACACAGCATATGCTATGCAAACACCGGATGCTCTCCCCAGGGGAGACTCCTATCCTGAGTGTCTCCCTAAGCCACACACTGGTCCTTGTGTTCAGGTTACAAGAAGAAACCTGGGGCAGGGAATCAGGCCTTGGGAGCCACTCTCTCTACCACTTGGGAGGCCATGGGCTGCTGATGGTGGCCAGCAAGAGCCAAGAGAACAGGCCACCCTGTACTCTGTGCATAGCTCCTCTCCATAGCTGCTCTGCTTATCCTTACAACAGCCTGGGGTCCCCTGGGGAAGCCAGACCAGAGACTCCTCGAGCCAGCCTCAAGTGAGGGAGGCTGCACACCATATGAGATTGTGGAAGTGGACAGTAGAGAAAGGACACAGGACTGATGGCTCCAGAGGACCCAGCTAGACTCTGGTCATGCAGCAGGAAAGGGGGGTGAGCATAAATCTCATTCCCAAAGTCTCAGGTCTGGTTCCCCAGGGGGTCAAGTACCCGAAGGTGTGAGTCCCTGGCCCTCTGCTGGTGTCTCATAACCGGTCAGGGCTCTCCCAGGGTCTGAGTCATCACAGTGGGCTCTGTGGGCACAGGCTCACTCGAGTGTCAGGCTAGGTGGCCACTATCTGCACAACCCTGGCTTCCAACATGAACTGCACCCACACTACACAGGCACATATGTGCTAGAAGTTTCTACTGACGTCAGAAAACCACCAGACGAGGGAATGTGTAAGAGAGACTTTCTTTAGATGGAGAACCTGCCTGGAAGAATGGGGAGTGGTTCTAAGAACCTGGAAGAAGTATGCTGGGGTTACCCAGGGGGAGCCTCAAGACTGGGCTCCTCTGTCTTACTCAAGAAGATAGGCTTACCCGTGACCTTCCCCCAGGGAGGTCCCTAGGAGGCTGACTATGGGATTTTACCTCAGACATCTGGGCACTAGTTCAGCCCCACTGAGGACTCCTTACTCATCCCAATAATAACTCTTGGAGAGAAGCACAATTTTCTGGTTCCACAAAGCAGAGAAGGGAGGTGGGTATTGGGGAAGGGTTTCTCCAGTTTGCCCCATGGGGCCAAAGCAAAAACAGAACCAAATATGACCACAAGACTGGATAGGGAGGGGGCAGAAGTCTAGTGACAGGCTCCAACCAAGCCCTGCCAGGCCCAGCCAGCCAGAACCTGGCCGGTTCCTTACCGACGAAGAGGGGTAGGGATCCGAGAGGCACTTAATAGCCTGCCCGAGTGGACTCTGATCCTTACCCTTCCTCAGCTTCCACTTTAGTCATGCTGTACTAAAAACTGAAGTCTTGCCCTAGCAAAGAGACTGCTGTGATAAAGAAGAACTGGAGAGGGAAATCACAATGTGAATTCCCATGGTGTGCAATTCCTTCTGTACCATTAGGCACCTGAGTCGAGAGTGATATACTCCCAGAAAGTCTACATAAGCCCTGTACTTCCAACCAAACAAAAGGTGGGGCTTCGCTCAACACACTGGGCAAATCCACCATGGTTTGACTTGGTTAATTTTCTACCTTTTCCTCTCCCTTTGAAGTGCAAGACCTTACGTATGCAGGACTGAGTCTGGGTATGTGGCCTGCCGGCCTTGCATGCTGCGGCTGGGTGATTGCTGTGATTCTTGGTGTGATCTGGGCCTGTGATATTTCCAAGCCCATCCTCCCTGCTTCTCTCTGCTATCGCTCTGGCTACTGGCCCTTTTCCTTGCTGTGGGTCCTACCTTCAAATCACTCAATGATTCAAAGGTGAAATGCCAATCAAATGCTTCCATAATGAAAGACCTAATCACTCTACAGCATGTGTACATTCAGTGACCCGAAACAACACCTCTGTTGGCCATGCTGGGAAGCCGTTGCCTAAGAACAGGCCTACGCCTAGTGTGGAGGTTGGGTGACTGCCTAGGCGATCTTGGCAGTGGGCTCCTGGTTGTTTTGGACTACTTAGGACTGTGCAATGGAGCTTGGGAGCAAAGTCGATAGAGACTTCCCAGTGGGCCTTAACTCCAGCAGTCCAAGACAGAGTAAGTTCTCATTCTGTAACCTAGGATTTCTCCAAGTATGGTCCAAGTACGTGGTTTATGAACCATGTACGTCAGCATCAGCTACAGCTGTTTCATAAAAATGCAGATTCCTGGGCTCTGTTCTAGACTGTATCAGTCTTTGATGCTCAGGCTCAAAAAATCATCTTCAGATGATCCTGGTGCAAGTTTGCAAACCCTTGCTGAGGTATCACTACAGTCTCAAAATGGCTCTAAGTACTCCAGCCAGTTCTACCAAGCCAAAGACCAGAACCTGAGAACAGAAATGGGGAAATTACATCCTGCTGTGGCAGGTTACACAGCTATCACTTGACTTCACATCCAAGTGCCATGGGATGAGATGAACACAGGGGAGGGGGGGGTAATGTAATGCCTGTTCACTGCCTCTTCCCCAGGCATCATCCTTTCAGTGGTCCTGGCTGGCGTTCTGGGCATCTGTGTTGTACTGGCAGTGTCCATTTGGCTTTTCAGAAGAAAGAAGAGGTGAGCTGGTTTGGGTTCAGAATGGGAGGCTGGGTAGCTTATTTGTCCACAAGGACTGATCTGTCTGGGAAGGCAGTCTGCAGAATGAAGACCCCCCATCACCTGTACCAACGCTGATCCTAGGAGCGCTCTCTCCCACACACCATCGCCTCCAGCCTCCTTTCCATGAGACCCTGGGCCATTAGGCTCAGAGGCAGAGATGTGCCTGTGGCCGTGGCTAACACCTGAAGACAAGTCTCTTGATGTGGGGGTGGGGAGGTCCCATTTGCCTGAACACAAGCAGCAAGGCTGTCTTCTTTCTAACATCTTTATATCTGTTTTGGTTTTTTTTTTTTTTTTTTTTTTTTTTTTCTCTCAATCCAAAAAGAAAAATGAAGGGAAACTTGATGTATCACTCCCATTAGCTATTAATGCCCATTGCTCATGTTTTTATTGATGTTTTGTTTTTCTAAAACCAATTTATTTTTCTGGAGTGGATAAAAAATAGTTTCCAGGAATCCTGTTATGGAATCAAAAGTTTAAAGTTGGGGTGGTAATGAGATCTTCTTCAAAATGCAGGTCTATTATCATCAGTTGTTATAAGAGAACAGTTGGAAAATGACCAGGTTCCTTTTTGGTTAATGCTTTATTTTGGGGGCATTCCTCCCAAGACCGACAGAACAGGGGAAGGGTCCTCATGAGAGGAATCTGACCCCATACCTAAGTCAGGCTGCTCTCTGCTTATCTCTTCTCTTTAACTGAGACTCGTGTGTTCTTCTTATTCCAGTAGCAAAAAAAGTGACAACAAAGGAGTCATTTACAAACCAGCCATCAAGAAGGAGACTGAAGCCCATGCCTGAGGCCCCAGAACTCTCAGGCACACCCAAGGAAAGACTTTGCTTTGGACACTACACACTGTGGCTCCCTAAACATTTGAAATACTTAAGGGTTCTCTGAAGCCCAACCCACAAATGCCCCAGACCCATGGGGGGCCTGTAGGTGGGTGCCCTGCCATCCTGATGCCACGGCCACTGCCAGCACGATCTGTGGATGGGAAGAACTCGCTAAAGAGGCAGGAGCTCTGAGCTGTCTGCTTCATCTGTGTGAGACCATTAAGTTGATTAGATTCTGGGGGGCATAAACCAAGTCACCCACTGGGCCTGTGATTGGTCAGAAAACACTTTCATCCACGGATTCCCTTTAGTGTGGTTTCAAGGATCTTGGAAATTCTGCTTCTTGTCCAAGCTTTCAGACCAGAATGTGCACTCTTTGCTTAGATTTTGCTTTTGAGACTCAGTTTCTTTCCTCAGGGAAGGGGGGGTTGTTGTCTTCCTCTGATTCCTTCTGCTGTGACAAAACTTTTGGTCTGACCTTATAACTGGGAGGAAGAATGATACAGGAAGGTTCAAGGTATCAGAGACAAAAAGAAAACAAAAGATATTCTTTGAAACACAGTAGAGGCATATCCAAAGTTCTGTCCTTTGGATCAAAAGCACTGAATGGACCTGAAATAGAGAGACTGAGAAGACACATAAGGTCTGGAGGAACTCACTTTGGAGTCAGAACTGGAGTCAGAAGTTGTCTGTCAAGTCGCAAGCGTGAGGACAACAGAATATTAATCCCAAGCCCAACCTCCTGTCAGCAGCGCAATTATGCTTTGTACTTTACAGACTTGATAAATGATCAGGCTATTCCTTGAAAAGCATTGTTGCTTACTCTGTCCTAGAGTAGACATGAGTTCTGAGATGACCCAAACCGCTTTTGAATCTAGAGGAAATAGGCAGGATCATAATGACTGAAGAGCTTTGTGTGCTGCCCAGATTTCATTTTGACCACTTCTGTGGTGTCCCTACTGCCAATGTGGAATCAGGACATCCCTACTTCCCTGACTTGGAGGATGTTGAGTCACGGCTTGCGTGAAATCTGTTTCAAGCTATGAAAGCAGGAAGTTATCTGTGCAGGGTGGGGGCATCATGGTATTTAGGGACCAATAATAACGGAATGTTACAAAGATACTTCATGGTCTTCAAAAGAGTCACAGTTTCTGAGAGGACTTAACTCTTTCATCAATGCAGGGGCCCCATGAAGACCAGTTAGTTCCATGACTGAGAAGGAGCCTCCACTACCAACTTCCAACCTCTCATGGCCGGCACTTTGCAGTTCACGGAGAACTTTCTGATTCCTGGTCTCGTTTTGACAGCACGGAATGTCCTATCAAAGCACAAGTTTCTTTATAACATCTTTTTCCTTCTACTCCTCCCTCTCACTCTGAGAACAGTCTTCTCCCTTCTCTACCATCATGACTTTTTATAGCAGTGGCAAGCCCCAAGGCTTTGTAGTGAGTTTGCTAAACCGAGTTACAGAAGACCTAATGAACACTCAGACGTGTGTGTGCACGAGGTCTTTGACAGCCTGGGAGTCTGGGTGGCGTCCTCACCTTGCCTTTAGCATGCCTGATGCTGACCAAATGACAGCAGGGAGAAGCCTTATGACAGAGCGACGTGAATTAGATGATGCTTCCTTGGACTTGGCCCAAAGTTGCCCATCAGAAACCAACATAAATCACTCGAGAGCCCTGGGACTATCTACCTTTTATGGGCAATTCTTGCAAGAGAACAAAGAGATCATTGTACCTGACGCAACAGCTATTCATAAGAAGGGAGACTGACCAGGCCATGAAAACAGTGGCATTTTCTCCTGCCCTGTGGCCGAGATAAAGCAAAACCAGGGAGGCAGACAGAAGGCTCCAAGAATCAACACTGTCAGCTTCCTTGCTAATCATTATGGGGCTCCTGGGGACCAAGCTTAGGACGTGGGAAGCCTTTCCTCAGCTTCTCACTCATTCCACTGACATCAGTCGCCACAGAAGGAAACCAGCACTGTGGTGTGTGAATTTCCTGTCTCGTTCGAATCCCCTGGAGGGTCCAAGTGCTGTGCTGGGTGCACTACAGGTAGAGATCACAAAGACAAGGCCCGTGTGGGAAAAGGACAGGAAAGGCCCTGGTTTCTTTGTTTCTTACTAATGGGACAGCTTGAGTCTTTTTGTTCTGTTTCTTTAGGATCATTTGATAAAAATAGTAAAAACTTACACCTATTTCCTTAATAGATATCCTAGGATTTTGCTGCATTGACTATTAATCCCATTTCAAGTTCAGACCTTAAATTCTTCTCCCCTTCACTAAACTCTCTGAAGGCCTCCTGAGCACCACTGGGAAGCACTGGGGTCTGCAGCACTCCTCTGTCCCTGTGCCTTGGATGGACCATAGGCCACTGTGATGATGGTCTCTTTCGCACTTCTATATTTATTGTAAGAATGATTGTAATGAAGACATAAACTGTAAATATGAGAAATTATAAATAAAATGTTTTTCACAACAGACTGTTTTTTTGGGAGGTGAGGTTAAAGCATTGTTGTTGGCAAAGCACTTTGTAGTTCCTGGTCTATGGTGACAGGTAACTGATTAGAGCAAGTAATGTCACTTGTCTCTAATGTCTTAGAACCTGGCTCCAAAGGAAAACACACTGATGTAGTTAATCATTTTATTGAGGATGGAGGCCTATGAGCTATGCAGCTCTGGGGTCACATAATTGCTTAGTAAGCAGAGCTGGGAAGTCTAGAATAATCAGGGAAATGCTCAGAGAGAAGGGGTTATCTAAGCTGGGCCTCAAAGAAGAAGTCAGATATGAGCAGGATAGAAAGAGAGAGGCATTCCCAACAAGGGGGCATGAATATAAAGAGTGTCTCTCTACTTCACTAGGTATTACATTTAGTAGGTTGCCTCTCCTGGTTGCCTGTTACCTATTTTGGACTTTTTTTTTTTTTTTTCCCCAAAACATGCTACCATCTTCCAAATAATTTTGTAAATCCAAATCCAGATTTCACCTTCTGGTTTGGTAAAAAAGGCAATCCTGTAGAGGCTACAAACAGGTACCATCATTGTTTATTTAGGAAAGCTTTCAATTTTCAGTTCAGTTGGCCAAGGATGGAAACAGATGCACTGTCCAAAGGTAATTTTGCTCCAGCAGATGATAAAGCAGTGGGCCCAGCTTCAGAACAGAAACATTATAAACCCTCCAGGTTCTTATAGTCTCTTCAGTGAGGATGCAGGTATTTTTCAGCTCACCCCCTTTAGCATCCTTCAGAGGTGAAGACAGATGGAGCAAGGCACCCCCAGAGAGCCTGTGCAACTCTCATTCCTTTACACCTGCTCCCATCCCACTGGGGCTGGGGCGGCAGGGGGTGAGTCTGCACTGAGTAACAGAAGTCATCTCCCTCTCCTCTCTCCATAGCCTTGCTCCCCATTCCTTGAACTCAAGATTCTTTGGGGTTGATGACCAGGGACATGTGGTGGCAAGAGCCATGGACTGGCGGGGGAGACTCAAGTCTTTCTTCAGGTTGGCCATTACCTCCTCATGTGAATCAAGCTATATGGACAATCTAGAGCATACAGTTCAATAGGATATACAACGATACAACGCGAGACAAGTGAAAATTTAAAGGTATGGTAGCCACACACCCCAAAAAGGAAAGAATAATAGTGACATCAATTTTAGTAATATTTTATAAAGCCCAGTAGATCCAAAATACTATAATTTCAACATGTAATCAATATTTTGATATGAGATCGTTTCATTCCATTTCTGTAGTAAGTCTCTGAAACCTACTGTGTATTTTACATTAACAGCACTGCTTGAATCAGATGCTAAATTCTCTTTGAAAATATTTGATCTGTATTTAGGTTTCACAAAATTACAGTGGAAAACGCAGATTCACATGCCTGAGTGGCTCCAAACACACTTAAAAGTTTTCCAAAACCTGAAGCAATTATCAGCTTTTAAATTTAAATTGATTAAAGTAAAATAAATGTTTTCTCACTTTCATTAGACACAAGTGCTCAGTAGCCACATGTAGCCAGAGGCCAACACAGCCACTGTGCAGATATGGACTGCTAACCTCCTCCTTCGACATACCCTGCAGTAGGGTTAAACCTAGAGAACCTTCATGCAAAATCCACCTGAGAAGAAAGTTTTGGGGACTGAGAGATGGGGGTGAGAGAGAAAGGATGGGGGAATCCAGGCAGGTGGATATGGAGGCTGGAAGAAAAGAACGCAGACAGAAAATCAGGCCAAGGTGAACAGACCAGAAGACCTTAGGCAGAGCTCCCCTTCTCTTTATACCTTTTCTTGTAGCTCTATGGGGGTTCCCCAGCCCTCCTTGCCCTGGCTATGTCTCTTGGCCATGTCCTGGGGTGCAGGTGCTCAGTAGTGACTCGACCGAGAGCATTCTGGTGTCTTTGCAGGAGCATGAGCTAAAGGCATGAGGGTGCCTGGTTAACTTATTGGGGGACCTCGCTGCAGGACCCTGGCCAAGTGCCAGGTTCTGACTGTCTCCCTAACACCTCCTCCCTGATATCCTCAGAGTCCAAACATTCCTGCTTTGTCTCCACTCTTCTGGAGCTAGGTGGCTGGAAGGGAGCAAATGCCTGAAACCTGAGTGTCTCTTGAACTGTCAGCTGGGCTTAGTCCCTCAGTTTGGAAGGAGTTGCAAGTTGCCTCCCATCAGGGTGAGGGGAAAAGTTTTGAGACAAGAGGAAAGGAGACCTCTGTGGCTGCCAGCTGAGCTGCAGTGGGCACTGGGCATCCATTCCACACTACATACAGCCTGGCAGACGTGATTTAGATGAACTACTCTGGTCCTCTGGCTCAGACTCAACTATGACAGGGTAGGGGAGAAGGTGTGAGGACCAGACAGTGCTGGAAAGGAGGGGCCCTATGCTCTACCTGTGCCCTGTCATTTCAGAATGATTGGGCAGGGATAAGGACCTAAGTGCTTTGTGATACAGAATTATTCACCATAAAAACAAATTATTATGACCAGGTCAGCATAATGTTATGACTAAAGGTCAATCAGGGATTCAGTAAGCCTCCCACTTGTATGTTCTAGACTGCACCTTCACTCCATTATCCCACAACCCAGGGAAAGAGGAAACATTGCCTTTTTAAGTGGGAAACTAAACAAGGGCTCTTGCCCAGGGCTAAGTGAAGGTCACACAG